GGGGCTATTCGGGACACCCCCAAAAATGCATTTACAGTAGAATCTCAGTAAGCAAAGGCTCCAGTTAAGAAAAAATGGATTAAAAACAAAGAATATTGATTACATTTACCTTGCTCGGCAAAAAAATTTCACTTATCAAAAAATTAGTGCATCATTGGTCATCACAAAATTGTGCATAGAATGCCATATATAGAATTGTGCACCAGGCATCATAGAATAGTAATTGACCTAAACTATGATTTATTTCTCCAAAACATATGATGGTTGTCACTAAAACATTCCTTTCTGTTTCAGGTATGTTTTTCACGTCTTTTTTTATAGTAAATTCACTTAACCCAATTAAAATGGTGAGAAATTACAAGCCGTCCTGTAAGCTTATAGATACAGAAAGAATGCTATAAGGCTGCTGATATGAAGCTTGCAGTGGACAAGGTAGTTGAAATGCTCAATGGCATGTTTATGGATACATTAATATTGCATCAATAATACGGTAATTAATGTATAAGGTAATATCATATTGATAAAGGAAAAACAAGGAAAAACCACAAAAAATGTCATTTATTCTACTGCTACATCATCTACAATGAAAGAGGAGTTCTTCTGAGTACTGTTAGTAATGGATGAGTACACTCTGCAAGCTTCAAATGTTTTAAAATGAAGTTTTATTTCAAGTGTCCCAAGTAGCCCCGTTCGACGGGGCTACTCAGGACACTCTTTTTTGCTTCTGGCACCTGACAAATAGCATATGGAATATTTTTGGAGAAGCCATGTGATAGCCCTTGCAAAGAGCTTTGAAATGAGCCTAAACTTGTTTATGAAATGTTTCATGGTGAGATGTTATGAATGAAAAACATTCGAAATTGTCCCGAGTAGCCCCGGTTGATGGTATTATATGTATGTTGTTGAAAACATGCTTGGTAACAAAGCTTCAAAGATGCCAACACTGTTTTAAACTATGCAACCTTTTGATGTTATGTCCTTATCATGGAAGAGCAATTGTCAAAGCAATCTGAAATATTTAGCAGATTTAAACATGGTGGCAACTGGCAAAATAATTGGAGGCAAAATATGCTGCTTTTCCTTATTTTCATTGAACAAATAAGGCAAGGTTGCTATTTTTCACAAGCAGTTTTGTCTTTCATGGGTCTGCTTTTGTCTGCTGCCTGATTTTCCATTTTGGTTCATATGTTATCATTCCTTAANCCTAGCTAAATTAAATAATTTTTTACGTTACAATTGAGAATAATTTATTTTTACTATGCCTACTTTGTGCAGGCTATTGGAATGTATTTATTAACTTGATTGATTTATCTTAGGTAAAATAGAGCAATATGTTGGCAGACGCCTCATGATCCATATTAAGCAGCACCCGGGTGTAGCTTACCCCAAGTGTGTTGACGTGACAGCCTCCAGAACTGGTGGCCGTCATGAAGAAACTCTTCCAACGGATGGACCAAGGCTCCAAGGAGCCTAGCAGCGGACACTGCAGCTATGTTGGCAAAGTGTTCCTGGTGGGCCGACACACCGTCACTGTTGAGGACACCATTAAACTTGGTTGAAAATTGTTGGCTTGATGTGAATAATTGTGGTTGATGAGGAGGACCTGTGATAGTTAAAGTTGTATGATACACAGTGGGCATCAAAATTATGAAAGCCGATTGTCAGACTGTTGGGATTTTTTATGATTTTGATAGAGAGAAAGTGGTTGCATGCTAGAATATTTGTCTTGATATACTAGGTATATGTGCAGGTTAAATATAAGATTGCCTCTCAATTATACATTTTTTGCATAGTTAGTCTGTTCTTTTGCCATGATTTTTTCTTGGATTGATCCAGAATTTATTTCTAGAAACAAAATTTTCTATTTAAGCATATGTGCTACTTGGATGAGCTGACCAGAGCACTAATGCATACACAATACATTCAAAATACATAAAATAAAATAAAAGTAAATAAATAAATTTTGAAAAAATAAATTCACAATTATCATTGATAATTAAATTAATTTGACTACTTCTGATGTAAATAACTGTATGAGACTGATACTGATGTAATTGAGGCTGTCATCATCACTCACTATCACAAGTACTGTTACCTATATCTGCTGCCACATCATTTAAAAAATATAACTCAGTACTCACTGCAGTGAGTGACAGAGAGCGCATTTTCTCGTCAATGAAAACTTGAGGTCACGGACAGACGGACGGACGGACATGGCAAGCACAATAGTGCATTTTTTCCATAAATGAGAAAATGCGCTAAAAATAGCTAAACAAGGCGGCTCAAAACTGCTTGGATAACAAATGGACTAAATATGTGTCAAAGTTTTATTTCTTAGTGACATTTAGCAGGAGTATCGGCCCACATAGGGCTAGCTTCATCATTACACAATTACAGCTTATGATGGCCTTCATAGTTTGTCATGTCAGGTGCAGAACATGCATGGTGTGTCATGGTCACTTGCAACTTTTTGTGTGTTAACAATAAACAATAAGTACAATTCTTGGCCAAAATAATTTTTTGCCTTGAACTGATGAAGCGTTATCACCTGAAGGATGGGTGCTATCTTCCAATGCCTGTCAAATGCACTCTGTAAAATAACTGCAGTAACAATAGGACAGAACAGAATTGACAATTTTATGCTATCATATAAAATAATGCATCATAACACCACTCTATACAATGCTGCAGTCATCACTATGAGCATATTAACCACGTACCTCCTAGATCTAGTGGCTAACCCAATATCTATCATCACAGCTATCATATCACTGTTCTGAACATTCCAATCACTATCATTTATCACTTTTCTGAACATTTCACTCATTATTTATCTCTGTTCTGGACATTCCACCATTATCATTTGATACCTCCTAGAAATAGTGGCTAACCAACCCCTATCATCACAGCTATACATCACTGTTTTAAACATTCTAATCACTATCATTTACCACTGTTCTGGACATTCCCCTCACTATCATTTGTTTGCAGGTGGCTTTGCTTTGGTGTTTCTGGCGAAGGCGAGTGGAGGCGTGCGCTACGCCCTCAAGCGTCTCTGTGTCAACAACGAGCACGACCTGCAAGTTGCCCGCAATGAGATCAACATCCTAGTGAGTGCTCAACATTCTTTCTGTTAAGCAGAATTTTTAATCATATCTTTTTAGAACATACCGTACGATACCACAGAACATACGATACCATAGAACATACCGTACATACTGTTACCGTACAACATATGATACCGCAGAACATATGATACGGTACCATAGAACACGCGATAAACATATCAACTATACTGATGACACTTGTAATTTCAATATAAGACTTGGTTATGACTATTGAGTCTAACTGTAGATATCAGCTGCAAATGTGACCTATGGTGATACCCTGTTTCTGCAATGCTGTTGAGAGATTCAAGTTTAAGTCAATAGACTGGCTATATTTTTCTTTGAGGCTAATCTTCAGATCATTGCAAAGTTTGAGCTTGAAGAAAGTATTTTCTTCTGGCAGCATTGATGATGCTGGAACTTTGCCCTGCTAAGCTATCTCAAACTAGGCATCAATTTTGTGAGCTTCATACATTGAATTTACATATTTTCGAGTCCATAAATACATGAATGATTAGATGAAAAAAATTTTGCTCTACCTATGTTAGTCAATATTACTATTAAGAACTGACCCCTCCTCCCCACTTGGTAACCTCCTCCCCACTAACCTCCCCCACTCTCCCAGAGGAGTGTGTGCGGGGTGCGCAGTATCCTCCTCCCCACTAACCTCCCCCACTCTCCCAGAGGAGTGTGTGCGGGGTGCGCAGTATCCTCCTCCCCACTAACCTCCCCCACTCCCCCAGAGGAGCGTGTGCGGGGTGCGCAGTATCCTCCTCCCCACTAACCTCCCCCACTCCCCCAGAGGAGCGTGTGCGGGGTGCGCAGTATCCTCCTCCCCACTAACTCGAGGTGCTCATGCTCATGACCTACCACAAGCGGCCCCTCCTGCACCTCCTCAACGAGAGGTGCGTCGGGGCGTGGCCCTCCTGGTGGGGGGGGTGCCTTATGATGGGTGGGATGTCCTTGACCACAGGGACCTTGTTACGGGCGTGGCCCTCCTGACGGGGGGGGCCTTATGATGTGTGATGTGATGGGTAGGATTTATGGATAAGTAATCATGATGAATCATGTTGAATAATTTGGGATTTTCCATGCATCAAAAGCATGGAAAACTTTGCATCATTCAATCACAATGATTGAATAATGTGACACACTATCAATCATAGTGTATGTCAATCACAATGATTGTTGGATTGACATGTCATGTCTGCAGGCTGGGCGTGGGGCTGACGGAGGCGGAGGTCCTGAAGATATTCTGCGATGTGTGCGATGCTGTGGCCCACCTCCATCATGCCAGCCCGCCCATCATCCACAGGGACCTTAAGGTGAGCCCTCATCATCCACAGGGACCTTAAGGTGAGCCCTCATCATCCACAGGGACCTTAAGGTGGGCCCTCATCATCCACAGGGACCTTAAGGTGAGCCCTCATCATCCACAGGGACCTTAAGGTGAGCCCTCATCATCCACAGGGACCT